AGATGCCACTGGTTCTTCACGTTCTGCAGATGTAGATGCCACCACCATTTATTGTGTGGCGGTTTAACTTACGACTCTCGGTCCAAGCAGGCAACTGGACATACGGGACAGGTTTGTTCGTATCTCAGAAAGTTCGTAAGTCGAATGTTCGTAAGTAGAGGAGTCCCTGTAATTATAATCCAATATGAGCGAAACTTATCAAGCTGTGTTGCAATCGTTTACCCTATTGATGAAAAGTTGTCAAATTGATAAAAGTGTTGCTCAATGTGGAGTAAAAAAAAACAGAGCAAAGCAAGCTATTTGCTCATATTTTCTGCTATGAAGAAGGACCATTACCTGAAACGTCGCTTAATATATTTTTATTTTTAAGACCCGAGTGTTATTGACGAATATTTTGATTTTTATTATTTACAAATATGCAAACACATTTTGCCCAGAGAGCTACCTCCTCTTCCGTGATGCTAATTAAATATTCGTGATGACAAACGCATTTTGGAAAGTGTTATATCATAATCCATATGTTTGCACAATTATTATTATTTTCCTCCACATTGGTCTGTAAACATAAAGAGGCAGTCTTTTGAAATCCGGTCAAATGAAAGGTTGTGACATTTTCGCCACAGCCACTAGAGGGCGATGGCGTTCCCAACTCGCACTTAGAACTAGGCCCCAATGACACACAAAATAGGAATAAACAGCCATAAGATATTTTTTTGGGGTTACATTTCGTAAATATAAATATCGTTAAACACGCCACCACCCGACACAGCCAATTGGTAAGATTTGTCACGTAAACAAAACGTGCCAATTCGTTACTAGTTCAGCACACACCCGCTGTGTTGGAGAGTAAACCCACAACGTTTACAATTCGAGTATGACGTTTCGCTGGTAATTACAACCAGCCCCATCAGGCGACAGCCAGAGTTGTGGAGAACTCATCCTGCTTCGGTCTTAAATAGAGGGATACATTTGTACAAATAAACGACACCATATTTACGCGCTCTAACCCAAAACAACCTATTATGTAGATTGGTCACAAAAGCCTACGAATAAGCAGATCATTTATCTCCCTCACACATCTCTCTCTGCATTATATATATTTCAAATGTACACTTCGCATCAACCACAATGCCTTCTGGGAGTGCATAATTTAAATAGCATTGATTCCATACCACACACAGTTTAGTGGGCATTAAGCTCAGAGGAAGTGCTAACCGAGGAGTAAAAGCAATGCAACAACAGCGGCTGGCGAGATGGCCAGGTGGGATCGGTGAGATTCTGTGGCAGAGACAGAGTCGGCACCACTGAGGTTAGGCATGGGTTCAAATCCGTGTTTCATCCAACCTCGGTTGATCCAGATTCTCCATCATAGCGAATTAATGTTAACCCAGTCATAAATATGCACAAAAACGCATGTCAAATTTGGGCTTTCGCCTCATTCGAATACAGTGCATTCCAGCTTCTGAGAATAAAAAAAAATCTGGACAAGTGATTAACTCTGCCTGAAGAATTTAACACGTAGGCTTTCACCATCAACATTATGAACTATTATTGATTTTTGGGTCAGATGGCGCGAGTAAAATATCTGATAATGCTGGTTCTGCCAACGAAACGTCGTGTAACATTTTTTATCTATTGCGAGGTTGCTCTCCAACACACCGGTGTGCTGAAGCAGCAATACATTGGCACGTTTGTTGACGTGACAACTTTATTAGTTGGCTGTGTTGGGCAGAGGTGGGTTTATGACACGCATTTTTCCGGCGCGATCTAACACCTATTTATTTTATCCGTTTGAAGAGTGCACACTATTAAACGCGAACCCATAAGGCTATTAAAGTGATGTCAGATCGTTCTGACGCCATATTATTGCTGCCGATTGATGACACACGCTGGTGCACTGCTCACTGCGATGAATTCATGACCGAAATGTCTGTCTCCTCACGCCTTGACGAAGGCAGCACAGTGTGAATTGTGTGAGGAGTGGGGGAGCAATGTTAGCCGTCGGTAACTGCCAGATATTCAACTGCAATATATCCAGGTACTGCTATTTTATTGCCTGCCAACGACAGGAGGTACACGAACAATGTACGTGCATAGTGTAGGTTGATTACCATGTGAATAACCCGACCGGCAATGGATACCCATTGTAATTTACATTCATTCATGAATCCCCTCCGCCCTTCGCACCTGAGGACTAGCAAGTGACGTCAGCACACCTACCCTCTCTATTTAAGGAACGAAACGGGAGGATTTCTCCACAAATCTGGCTGTCCGCCTGATAATGGCGGTTGTAATTACTGGCGAAACGTCCTACTCAGATTGTAAATAAATGTTGTAGTGGATTTGCTCCCCAACACACCGGTGTGCTCTACTAGTAACGAATTGTCACCTTCTGTTTAAGTGACAAATCTTACTAATTGGCTGTGTCGGGTGGTGGCGGGTGTAACGACACATTTACAATATGGAGCCTTTCTTGCCAGTATTAAAATATAACAATAGGTTTTACCCTTTCTGGCAATAAAACAGTTATGTCAAGATGTTAAAACACCAAACAGAAACCTTATTGAAGGAATCCTGTCTGCATTAACTACACACGTACTTGTGGTGAACATGCAAAAAAAAACATGCTCTGATAATATACGCATGGTATTTGAAATTGATTGGTCCACACCAGAGACAGCTTTTATTAAATAAATCTCGCTAAAATGAGTGGTCAACAACCTTTGATTTCCCGGCTACGGCTAACGTCATTTTGACGTGATATCTCAACCTGTCCTGCCCCCTCCCCGCCCTTCTACAGCAATGACCAGCGTGGTGTATGGCACGGCCAAACCTCCCACAACTCCCTTCCCCCACCATCCCCACCAGCCACCCCATTCATCTGGTGTATTGAGAATGGCTGAAATAGAATAGGAAATGCCTAAGAGCAGTTCACGTGACATATCCATTATGGGGACATCTCAGAACATCCTATGCGCATTCTGAAGAGACGTTTTCCCAGCCTAATATATTCTTGTCACCTGGCCATCAATCCTGTACTGGCTTTCGTTGTACATTTTGCGTCCCAGACTTCTCGAGTGTCACGGTGGCCCGACAAGGGATGTAGCATGATAGGCGCTTGTTGCGGAGGGTTCGCGTTTGGAGACCCAGTGGCCGTTCTGGTTGACACAACAGATTAGCCATAAATGTGTAGCGCGTGTGTGCCGGTGTCGTTATCCCCCTCCCCCACCCCCCCAATGATAAATTGCTTGCAAAGTTATTTAGTTTGTTGGAAAAAAAAATCGCAGCAACATCGTCCCCCTGCAGCAGAATGAATGCTCGCTTGGAGGCCGGCGTTGCGACAACTTTGTGGCCACACCAGGGACAGAGGCTGCGACTGTGGTTTCCTCTCGGCTGGCCTGCATCAGGGGCACTGGGATTGTTCAGATGAGATGCTGATTGAAGGCGCTTCGAGTTGCCCGCAATGTCCTTAGGCACCCTGCAAACGTAAATAATGATGCCTTCAGTCACGTTAAAGAGCACCGTTTCTCACGCCTGTTCCAAACGCGTGGCAGCGAATTCTGGTCTCCCTCTCACATTCGCGGTTCATGAGGACATTTATCTCGCAAGAGGCAATCACAGCAAGACTCAAATCAACAAACAGCTGTGTCGATGCCATACCTAAGTTGCGTGTCCCGGGCTGACACGAAGTGTTAAGCTTGGTTAAATAAATAAAAAATGTATACTTTAAAAGTTAGCCGAGTGCGTCATATTTGTCAATCTCGTGACGTCAGTGTTTCGCCACTCCGCATTCTCTTCACGCGTCAACTCGGAAAGGTCAATAGAGCGCTAATGACAGTGACCCTGGCCGTGATTTAAAAGTCCCGTCTCTCGTTAACGACGCGTCCGTGTCGTGTCGAGCAGCAGCGGGCCGGATCCCTGGCGAGCGTCTACAAATTGAGTGTTTTTTTTTAGGTCGCGCCTTCATTTAATTAATAAACAAAAAACTCTACACATTCGTCAATAAGCCTTTGGAGTAAACCTATACGTGAAGCGACCCTGAATAGCACGCGAATATTTGTTTTTGCTGTGCTTGTGAACAATTTCCAACGCAGCGACACAAAGTCATTTGTTTGGCTTTATTTAAGCTGAGCGCCGCCACTGCAACCCTCGCTTAGGCATGATCAGCTGCACCGACACGTGGTCGTCTAGGCATGATCAGCTGCACGTACACGTGGTCGTCTAGGCATGATCAGCTGCACGAACACGTGGTCGTCTAGGCGTGATCAGCTGCACGTACACGTGGTCGCCTAGACATGATCAGCTGCACGTACACGTGGTCGTCTAGGCGTGATCAGCTGCACGTACACGTGGTCGTCTAGGCATGACCCGCTGCACGTACACGTGGTCGTCTAGGCATGATCAGCTGCACGTACACGTGGTCGCCTAGGCATGATCAGCTGCACGTACACGTGGTCGTCTAGGCGTGATCAGCTGCACGTACACGTGGTCGTCTAGGCATGACCAGCTACACGTACACGTGGTCGTCTAGGCATGATCAGCTGCACGTACACGTGGTCGCCTAGGCATGATCAGCTGCACATACACGTGGTCGTCTAGGCATGATCAGCTGCACGTACACGTGGTCGCCTAGGCATGATCAGCTGCACGTACACGTGGTCGCCTAGGCATTGCTCGCTGCACAGACACACACACGTGCTCGCCTAGGCATTGCTCGCTGCACAGACAAACACACACGTGGTTGAGCACAGCTGTTGTGGGGGAGAAGCGCCGCCGCCCTATCTCCCGCCCACGTGACCTTCCACGTGCTCTCCACTCCTCCCACATCTCGCACCACGCCCCACCCCCTCCGCTGTCGGCCCCGCCCACGTTGCGAGGCGCGTGCGCCTCCCCCAAGGCCAATCGGACGCGAGCTCGCACAAAGAGCGCTCGTCCTATTGGTCGCGAGCCCCGGAGCGCGCGCCTCCACGGCGGGGGTGGGGGTGAAGGCGGGGGTGGGGGTGAAGGCGGGGGTGGGGGCGGGGATGAGCCGGTGCAGCCGTCCAATAGGCGTGTGGGGCGGGCGCGCGGATGCGTATACATTTGAGAGGGGGGGCCCGTTGTTAACCCGGCGGGTGGGAGGGCGGTGGGTGGTGGGCGGTGTCGGTGGGCGGAGCGATCACGAGTGTGGGCGGGGCTTTCCGCAGGGGGTGGCGCCTCGCGGGCCCCGGCCTCGCCTTTTGTTCGCGTCGCGCCGAGCGGCGAGGACGAGGCGGAGGAGGAGGCGGCGGCTCGGGCTGCCCTCCTTCCCTCCCTGCCTCCCTGGGTCTCTCCCACAACCGCGGTGTCTCCCCCGGGGTCACTCGACGGTTACGCGTTGCTTCCCCGTGCCCATTTCCTTCCCACGCCCGCACGCACGCACGCCGCGGTGCCGACCCTCGGAACAGTGCGGGACGAGCGCGGGCTGCTCCCATCGGCAACCGGCGTCGGCACAGGAGGAGTGGTTGAGGCGATCGGCGTGGATACAACAAACAGCGAGCGAGCGGCCGAGTGAGTGGGGATAGGGGGGCTAGGGGACATAAAGGGACATCAAAAGGACGGGATCCCGGGCTGCGAGGAGCTCCGAGCGAGCTGGCACCAGCCGAGCCGGGCCCAGCCGGCCTGGGGTTGGGGCCGGACTGGGGTGGCCGAGCCCGGCCGGGCCGGGTTTGCCCAGGGACGGACGAGCAGGGGAGGTCGCGCCGGGCTCGGCTCCCGGAGCTGCTGCCCCTGCGGGGGTGACGGGGTCGGGATGGCCGCGGACACTCAACACAATCGCCACCGCCACCACCACAGCAGCAGCCGCCGCCACCACCTGCACCTCCGTCGCGATTGCTCGAGCGGCAGCCGAGTTGCGTTGTCGTCGTCTGCGGCGGCGTTGTTGTTGGCGTCGTTGGCACACGCGCTGAGCTGAGAGTCGGGTGGTCGGGCACTGGCGCCAAGTCCCCGGCCTCTCCTCCCTCCTCCTGCTCCTCCAACCCCCACCCCCCCACACCTCCTGCTGCACCTGCACCAGCTGCGCCGCAACCACCCCTGGGTCTCAGCCATCCAGCAGCAGCAGCGCGTCTCGTCCAACTCGCAACACCACCACCGATCACCACCACCACCAACATCTCCACTACTTTCTTGCACGCCACCCGCCTGCTCGCTTGACTGTCGACCACTTTCACCTGCGCCATCATCGTGCTGACCATCCCCTCCCCCTTCTCTCTCCCGCGATAATAATCCCATTAGCATCACCACCTCGCTTATCTTCACCTGCTTCACGACGAGCAGTATCACCCCACCCCCCTCCATCCTAAATCATCTCCCCGAACCATCAGCTAGCACCACCACCCCCGCCTGCCCCGGCACATCATCCACCCCTCTCTACTCTTGCTCCACCACCACCACTACCAACCACATTAATCTACATCTCCCTTTTCACCACCACCACCATCATCACAGCCGACAATTTAGCTCCACCATCTCACTCGCGCCGCGGCCACCTCCCCAACGTTGCTTCCTCTCCCTCCGCCGCCGCTGTTTGTTGAGTGAAGTCGTCGAGGCGAAGACGAAGAAGCAGCAACAGCAGCAGTAACAACAGCAGCAACAGCAGCAGTGGAACAAGACGTGCTGCTGTCCTCCTCCATGGCGCTGTGCGGTGCAGCCGCCGCCGCGGGCCAGAGGCAGACGGCGTCTCGGCTCATGGTCTACAACGGCGGCGTCCCCGCGGCCACGGCGGCCGTGGGGACGGGCCACAACCACCACCACCACAACCATCACCACAGCCACAGCCAGCATCACCACAGCCACAGCCAGCCTCAGCAGCAGCACCACCACAGCCAGCAGCAGCAGCACCACGCCGCTCACTTCCACCCGCAGCCTCAGCCCCAGCAGCAGCAGCAACAACAGCAGCAGCAGCACCCCGCAGCAGCGGTGCATCCTCAGCACCCGGCGTCGGGCCCTCACGACTCGAGGCAGCCTTACTTCCCCTCGCCTGCACCGGCAGCGCCCGTGCAGGCGGCCGCGTCTGCAGCGGTGCACTCGCATCAGCACCACCACCACCAGCAGCAACAGCAGCACCACCAGCAGCAGCACCCCCAGCAGCAGCAGTCGCAGCCCCCGGCAGGACCTCGGCTCCCGCCAGCGGGAGACGTGGAGCCAGATCGGCCCATCGGTTACGGCGCGTTCGGCGTTGTCTGGTAAGGCGATTCCCCTTCCCCTCCTTGCCTCGTCTTTTTAACAAAGTGCCGCGTGGACAACAACAATAACAAACAACGCAAATAATTATCAGCAGCAGCAGGGTCGGCCAGTAATCGGCTTTTGGTGGTGGTTGCACGGTCGTGATCCAAGGATGTTTGGGATGTCCGGCGTTGGTGGAACTCTTAACAAAAAAAAACCCCGCTCAGCTGCGTGGTTGGCGAGGACATGGCAGTGCAGTACAACAAGTGGGTTGATTCCTGAATCCCCCCCGCCCGCCTCTCGAAATGCGTGATGCGATGTCTCCTGGTCCTCCGGTTTCCGCGCACACAAAAGCCAAACCACCACTCGTTACACTACACTATACACTACACTATACACTACACCACCACCACTCCACCGCCGCCTCCAATGAAGCAAGCCCCCTCTTGACTCACCAGTCTTGAGACTGTGAGACTTTGTGTAAACATTGGGGGGGGGCGTTATTGTTATGTAGTTACAGCTGTGCGTGGCTGTGTACCACCAACCTTATTGGTCACGCCGTGCCCTTATAAATCTCAACGTTCATCATATACACAATACACTACACTACCCCTCATCAGTGCCCCTATCTTATTACAGACCAATTCAGACGCTATTGGTCACGTTCATCGTATACACGGCACTATAAACGACACAATACACTATACACCCATATGGTACAGCCGTTTCAATACGGGCTAACACACAGTTTGTATCTGTTTGTGTTTCTATCCTTGCGATGGGACTTTGTAGGATAAACTTTGAGATTTATAAGGGCACGGCGTGACCAATAAGGTTTGAATTGGTCTGCAATAAGATATGGGCACTAAGAGGTAGTATAGTGCATTGTGTAGTGTATATTATGAACGTTGATATTTATAAGGGCACGGAGTGACCAATAAGGTCTGAATTTTGTCTGTAATAAGTTGGGGGCACTGATGAGGGGTTGGCAGCTATGGTACCGAATCGTCCGGAATGCGCACGCCCGATCTCGACAGATCTCTTGAAGCTAAGCAGGGTCGACCACCAACTTGACCACTGCATAAACACACACACACACAGGGTCTCTTTTGGTTGTGTCAGGGGCTCCGTGTTGGCACAGGGAGGGATTCAGGGCCACAAACTCCGTTGTTGGGCTGTACTATGTGCGCTCCAACATCTATGCTCGGCAGCCCGTACTGACCAGCGTAGCCAACAACAACAAAAAGTGGTCACGTGGCGTCCCACGATCAGCACGGCGTGGGAGGAGGCGCACTCATCCAGCAGTGGATTGACAAACAAAAGATGTGTACGTGTACGTGTACACACACTGCACACGTGTCTCGTCGTCGTGTGTGTGTGTGGTTGTTCCAGCGGTTAAGAGCGCTACGAACCCGACCACCCGAGTTCGATTCCCGCTCACGGCCAACACCGCTGGCGTTTATCCGAACCGCTCCGGGGCCTCCCCTAGGGTCGACTCGGCCACAAATGAGTACCTGGCTCGATGTGTTGTAGTGAACATCGCCACTCGGGGGAGACAAAGGCGGTCGCGCGTGGTTGCTGCCCCCACACACACACACCTCGTGTGCTGTGCCGGCCTTCATAGGGTGCTACTCGCTCACGATACGTGGCCCAACAGTCTGTTACAGGGCTACACGGGTGGCGGGTGGGGGAGGGTGTTTGTCGTCTTTGTTGCTGTTCAGGTGGCTTCTTATTCTCTTGAGCCTGCTGGCTATTGGGAGGATCTCGTTTGACTGCACTGGGTCGAGGGAAGGGGGTCTGGAGGTCGTCCCTCTCCTTGCGTTTGTTTTGTTCTTGCCGCTGTGTCTCCCCCCCACACCACACACACACCACATTTGCATGTCTTTGTTTAACAAAAGCGACGAGCTTGTGCGTGCCGGTTACCGGAGGTAGACAATTCCCCCCCCCCACCGCACGATAAAGCGAGGCAAAGACTTAAGGGAGACATCGTTGCATTTGGGTTTTCGCGATAATAGTGGACGCGCACACACACACCGCACACACACACACCGCACACACACACCGCGCACACACGGCGCACACGGCACGCACACACCGCACACACACACACACACACCGCACACACACACCGCACACACACACCGCACACACGACACACACACGGCACGCACACACCGCACACACGCGCACACACGCACACACACCGAACACACATACCGCACACACATACCGCACACACGACACACACACGGCGCACACACGCACACGGTTTCTCCTTATCGAGCGAGCGACGGTGGCCGTGCTGGCCAACGTGCACGATTGACAGTGGTGATCAATGATGGGGACTTAATTGAACGTCGTTGTTTCCCCACCAACTCCCCCCCCCCCCGCCACCACCACGTGGGTTCACATCACCTTTCGGCGAGTGCCGTTTTGCCATCGGCGAATTTCTCGTCGATTTCCCCCACCATTCATTTTAAGACTGCGAGAGAGACTCCTTGCCACCCGCGGACCTGTCTTTGTGGAGAGAGCGTGGATACCAGGGGTAATTCTTCCTCCGACTTTAATCCCCCCCACCCTACCACCGCCTCGCCACTACCAATCATTGCAGTGCAGTGCATTACTTAATTTTGTAAACTATAGGATTACACCGATTATTATTTTTTCCAGCCTCTCGTGACCCGGAGATAAGCCGGTGATGTCATCAAGCTACGGGTCAATGTAGGCAAATGCGACCCATCCCTTTGCGATTCCTATTGTTTTATTTTTTTACATCGCTGCTTGTTTTATCTCCGCTAATGTGCTGCGGAGTGGAACGTGTCCGAGAGAACGTCCGTCATCCACAGGAGTTTTTTGAGCGATAAAATAAGCTCCTGCAGAGGTGCTGTCGGTGTATTGTTACGTCTCGGGGTCACGAGAGATGGCGACTGCTTGGAGCGAGTGTGGCCTTCATCCAGCAGCGGATTGGTCATGGCTGCTGATGAGAAGGTCACCTGAATTGAGGACGCATCTCACGACCGCAATCTTATCGCGTGGCCTGCTCGGCACAACGCTGCCGGTATTCCGTTGGCTGTTCATGGAGGTACCCACTAGAGTTGCCATGAGGATTGCGGTGTCTACAACGTGGTTGAGTGCCAGTCGGACAGCTTGGCAACATTTACTCCACGTGTGCCGAGGACCGTGGAGGCAGCGTTGGAGAATTTGATTCTCCGCCGAGAGCAGGACATCCCACGGTTTATCGTGATAACTTGACAAATGAATACCGAAATAGGTCCATTTCTGGGGATTTAAGTGGCGAAACGATTACAATTGAACTGCTTGCACACAACAAGATAACACGGTTTCGCCAAAATAAATGTGTTGGCTGCATCCACGGCTTAATTTCTCACTGAAATAATTTTCATGTTCGCTTTGTAAACTCGAGTAGGCACTTTTTGACACGATATCCACGACTTCAGCCAGGTGGATATCTGGATGTGATGTGCCGGGAATGGAATTATGTTTTAGATTCGCAGCCAGCAGTGTGGTACTCAAACCAAAAGTACCGATCAACGCGAGTTTCCTCCAATTGATGGCCGTGTCGGTTTTAGAAGAACGGAATAATATTTCAAAGTGTGTGTGGTGCTGTCCCGAATCTGCCACTGTGAGCAGTGGGGGTGGGGTAAAGTGTCTTGTCACTCCATGTTCTACGACGCCTCTGACCGGTGTGGAAGACCCAATATAAAAGGTTGAGTTCTGTAAAATGTTGTCGTGCCGTTTGTTTGTGTGTACGGCCCTTATTTGTCAGTCCGCTTTGAGACAAGGGCCTCCTCCCCCATGCTGTGGTGGGCCGTGGGGAGTTATTTGACCATATTTCACCACACTGTTTCAGTGTGGGTTGCTAAAGGCGAGGAGGTATAGGGAAGAGGGAGCACTTTAACAATGCAACAATGGATTTCGATGCAATGCTGTCCCTGCTGATAATTAATGGCACCTTCGCTCACTGCCTACAGTGCCTGTTTTATGCATGGTAGTCGTCCATCCTAGTACTGTTCCGGATGAACCCTGCTCAGTGTAATAGAGCAGCGTGTGCATCCCAGTGCACCACCGTGTCATACCACGTGTTTGTATTATTGTATTTATGCTACAGAAAGCACCGCTGAGGACTCCACGTTCCCCCGTTGGCACCGGAGTTGTGATTTTTTTTTGTTTCACCTTCACACCATTTCACTATTCTGTGCTGCAGCTTGTCACGTTCCGCCGATGTGTACGCGCTTTGTGTGCGTTGTTGTATGCGACGGGATGATGCTGTGGTGTAAAAGATTAACACACTGGAATTGTGATCCAGACGGCACCGGTTCGGTCTCCCGGCACGGCAGTATAAACAGTGGTGCACGTTTGTTAAATCCACCCTCCTGCTGCCTCTGTCCACCCAGCAAGTATAAATAAATGTGTTGAAAACGATTTGTCGATTGGCAGGTCTAACGTGTGGAGGTGCCGCCCACATCTTCCCAGACGTCTGGCAAGCATGGGACAGTAGGCCAAAATACAATCTAGGAGAGGCTGGCCAAGAGCTCCTTCTGCCAACAGTGGTGTCAACAAGATTATTGCAGGGGTTGCAGCATTACCTTGTCAACTGAATAGAGGACCGCTGAGGATCAGCTATGCTTTTCCCATGTTTGTGGAGTGCTGGTTTTCACCCTAGCACCATCGCACCACTGTTCTGCAGCTTGCCGTATGTAGCAGTGCGTACGTGGTTTTGTGTTTTGTTAATGTATCCGGGAAAGCCTTGCAGAGTCTCAAGACTCATACGTGGGGGGTCATGCATTGGGACGTTTGACCAATTCCTTCTGTTCTCGCGTATTATGGCAATATGTTCGGGAGCTGAGTGCCAATGTCGAGGTCTGCTAGCCATGAGAAGACTTTCGGGATAAAGTACAGGTAGTTTTTGCTCTTCCTCCATTAAAGGAGCAGGGACTATAGCGGTTTACTTATATGGTCAATAGAATGGGCGACATGGCCACAGTCGCACTGTGGTTTC